CGCATAAATTGAATGTGTTTCTTTTTCGTCCATCATGTTTAAAAAATATCACGTTACTTCAGAGTACTAAGCAAAGAAATTGGACAGAATGTTAAAATCTATAAATACTGCGGTGCCCTTTTACTCAAGTATGCATAATTCTTCAGCTTGAAGAAAACAAAAAATTGAATAACTCTCACTTAAAGAAGAATTTAGAACAACACAAAGTGACAAAGATAAAATGGCCAGGGGTAAAAAAGAACATTGTCTGAAATTTGTAAAAATATTTTTACACCAACATTCAAATGCTTCAAAACATTGAATGTGTTAATAAAATCTCATATTTTTGCCAACAAAGGTTTCAATTTTGCTAGCAAAACAAAATGCTTTCAAAATCTCAAAAACAGCATCATACACATTGGAAACATTTTCCTGAGTGTAGTGTTATTAAACAATACTTTGTTAAACACAAAATATTACGTAAAAGTTATATATACTACCTATGCTTCTAAATATGGTAATGACTCTTATAACGTTTGTTTTTTTTCTAACGGATATAAATTAAGTTAAATTTAAACAACAACAAAGTTAATAAAAGTAAATATTGTGATACAAATTTAAAAGAAATCCAAGCCATGTTTCAATTTTGTTTTAATAAAAATGTACGATAAACGATTTTTTTAAATGGAACACAAACATAAATATACAAATTTGACGTTTTATCACTGAACCATGTTTATAGGCAACTTGCGCTTACATTACACTGCACTAATATGGCATATTATAATTATTGTTAAACTATCGGTCACTCTCATTGGCTACATTACTTCGTATAGTTAGCCCAGCTGTGTCGGCTGTTCCCGCTCATATTTTGACATTTTTAACTTAAATGAAAGCTTTAACCAAACGTATAGGCATAACATATGTAACACATTTTTCTTCTCATTCTTAAAGCTCAAAAATATAAAAATATACATCAACTACACACGTCAAGCTTCATATATACTTAATTGCAAGCAGATAAATATAATTTTTTAAGGGAAAACATTAAGAATCTTACAAAATGGTGTCTTTTTACCAAAGCATTCCTTATTTCTTTGAATTCAAACAAAACAAAAATTGCATAACACTCACTCAAATACAATATATTAAAAGACATTTAAAAAGCAGATAAACGCTGAGCTATAAAGTGTCTCGTTTCTAAAATTTGCTGAAAATAATTGGTTGCACAGACCGTCAAATCGCTTCTTGGTAAGCACAATATCATATTTTAAAAATACAAGCTTCATAAAGAAGATCAGACAAAGTATTGATTTGAAAATAAAAATTTTTGTGAAAAATGTATATAAACATGTATAATCTTTTGAAATATTTTTAATCTTCAATTAGAATTTACACATTATTGTCAACATAGAAAAGCAATGATAGTAAAAATATAACTACAGTATTTTAATAAGGCAATGGCGAAACTGAAAAGGATTTAAGGTAAACAATCATAATAGAGATGACATTTCCTTTGGATTTCATGTGAAATAATAAATATGAAATTTTACAAGTCATACATTAATGCATAATGAATTTATTCAAGTAAATATAGTCTTAACAATAATTTAAAACGTTTCGGTAAGAATAACACATAACTGTTCTACACCGCATATTTTTTCAGCTGTCTTTATTCATTAGCGCTTTTATTTGCTCAAGTCCTTGAAAAGAAAAACTACTCTTCCCATATGGTGACGCTGAGTTGTTAGCACACCCTACGTCATTTTAAACTAAAGTATCGATGATTTATCACTGTCGTATAAATAGACCCGAGCTGCACAATAAACGCAATTATCAACGCTCGACATATAAGTAGCTACATTGGCGCCTGGAAACACGAAGAACACGTTTCTCTTCTTTTGGTTGAAAATATGAAAGTAATTTCAAAAACTGTCACTCTTTTGCTTTTATTTTGTGTATTTTCGTCTTGCTGTGGCAAACCAAAGTGGTTATGGATGGATGATGAATTTGTGGAAGAAAAAAACATGTCCGAAATGGAAAAGAAAGAGCAAGACACTAAAGATCTTCTTCAGGCAAAAGGATGTATCTATTCAGACTCTCGTGCATGCAAGTACTGAAACTTACTCAAGTAAAACTACGACCAAAATAATTCTTAAATTATCTAATTTCTGTAGGAAAACTCATTAAAATAATATAATAAGATCGAAGTATTGACAAACTGTATTTGTGTGTTGATGGAGTTCCCGTACATATTATATGTCGTTTTATGTTTATAATAGCGTTTGCCTGAAACAGTTCCAGCAGTATTACTTTCCAACGTACTCTTGCCTTTTGCATCTATTTTAAAATGAGACACTTATTTACAGTCTAGATTATATGCGTGTTTTCAAGTTTTCGTTCATAGTTGTTCGATCAAAGCTTCATAAATGCAGTACATTAATGCCGTTGAGCACAAAGAATTTGTTTATATGTCTTGTGGCTGAAATGGTGGAACTATGAAATGGAATGGATGAAAATATTTTCTCAAACCATCTCAGACTCTCTTCTGATTCTCTAATTCTTTTCTGTGTGTTTTCGTCTTGATGGGCAAAACCAAAATTGTCGAGGGTCGATGATGAATTTGTAGAAGAAAAAAACAGAACCGATGAGAACCAGTAGCTACTGCGGATTGGTTGTATTTATGAAGTGGATAAGTAACCACGCAGGGCGCAATTCGATTGCCGAGTCTTAAAAGTTAAACACAAGTAAAGTCGGTGGATTCTTTTCATTTCGTAGGAAATATATTTTCAATAATACTTTAGACTATTCTGACTTTACCTTATTTTTGGTTGTAAGTTGGCATTTTTCGAAAATATGATTTGTATTACTTGAAAACTCTATGCGTGAAGCTATTTTTGACGCAATAACGAATGTAAACAAACTTTAAGATACTGCAATTATATGACAAATATAACTTGTATACATGTAATATGTGTCATGTTATTTAACTGGAAGGCTACTCTCTGCCAAAATTTGCTGCCAGCAATCAAACTAGTCCTAGTCTTTCCACGCGCAGCTAAAAAAGTTCATTTACGACAATGAGCACAATGATGTTTGTTAACAAGACATACATGTGTTTCCTGCGTGGGTCACACGATTCTTCACGAACTCTGAACTATATACTTCTGAACAACAACAAAGTACGAAGAAAACAGACGCATCTCGTAAGATCCGCACTACAACGGAAATTGGGAATAAGGTGGTTATTTAGTTGTGCTCGACTGATTTCATATGAAAGTGAAGATAAACTTCCTCAAATTAACTTCTAACATCTTTTTTCTCATTTTATGAACTACCAAACCGCCATTCACTATTGAGTAGAGTTTTTAAAAAATTAAGGGAATGTTTGAAAAGAAAAGCCAATTTTTTCAGTTATCAGTTCGACTAAAACATGTTGTCTCAAACAACAATAAATGGTAAGCCTAAGCGCTTTAGAGCTCAATGGCAAGCAAAATTCAGCAAAACTTTGAGCTCGTAGTATTCTTGTGGATTCTTTAAACTGGCTTATTATATGGAAAGTGCCAAGCGTCACTTTCAGCAAAATGGTGCGCTTTGATTAACTCATAAACATTTTTGGCGACAAACATTTCCCCGTAGCTAATTGATGGGCGTTCCAATCATTTGCAGTAACAGCGTAATCAAACTCGTGAAGAAAAATGAAAAAAAACAAAGAACCATATTCTTGACTTGAAATTTAGCCATGTTTGTGGTATGATACAAAAGAATATTTTGTCAGCGCTATTGTCGGCACCAGCCGTCGTGTGCGATGAAAACTTTTTGATAAATCTCAAGAGAATGGTTGCAAGTCAAAAAGACGATTGTGAGACGAAGGAAAACATTCGGAAAGTGTTTTAAATTATTCAGACAACACAATTTATGACAATGTATCTTTTTATTCATTTAGATACTCATAGTAATTTGAACAGCCATTTGTGCCATCCAGTACATTTATTGACATATTTTTCGTATTTTCGTTCTTGTTTAAAAGTCTTTTGTAGATCTATGTAATGTGACTGGTTGGCTTCCTTTGATGTTGTCGAATGAAACAGAGCAAGTTTTATTTCCATACGATTATTTAGATTGATGGATTCAACAGTCGGAGACTAACTTTATATATGTTCACACAAGCCGTTTTAGGACGCAACAAAATCGGATCCTGTGAATGGGCCTTAATCAACGTGCCACACGCAATGCACTGCTGACTTTATATGGAGTAAGTGCAAACAAAGGCACGCGTTATGAAAGCCAAAGGTTGATTTCCGGCAAAATATCTTCCGTGCTTTAAATCTTATTTCATTTCATATTTCAAAATAATTTTAAAGGTAAATTCATTAAAAATTCGAATTAAAACAATTTTTTGATAAGATGTTTTTATCTCCAGCATATTGTCTATTGAGTATGATACTTTGTTCACTCAACCAATAAATCAATTGCATGTTTACATGCGTAGAAACAGACAACATTATACAACTGTAGGTTTGTTTCCACTATTTCTTTTACAACATTTTTTAATTCTTGATACTTATTGCTGGATATTTGTCAAAAACAAAGTCTAGTCTAGTAGCCTTGCATTGCTCTGCAAGCTTTACCAAATAATCAAATATTTGATCTGCAAATTCACCAAATGTTCTCTAATTTCGTTATGCAGCTTTCAATACTGCCATTGCATCAACCATTAGTGCATTATTATCACCAATGTTTGCAATATCTACAGTTGGAATGTTGCCTGCTTCCTCTAAGATGTGCAACATCTTGGCTTTCGTTGTCTTCACAAGTCCCCCTGTCAGATAAGCGATTAAAAATGGAAGTCACTTAGACTGTAACATAAAAACTCCTTTAGATTAATCTCACGACATTTCGAAATCACCAGAAATTGGACAAAAAGATTCCTATTTATCTTAACAATGCTTTGACGGCTCATGCCGTTTCGTTACCGTCACTTTGTTGATCGTGACTAAATCACCACACGAGTACATACAAGTACATAGGAGTACATACAAGTACATACGAGTGACATACGAGTACATACGAGTGACATACGACTACATACTGGGCACAAGTATATATATATATATATATATATATTGATAAGAAGAAGAAAATACACTAAAACTACAATTCCATCCTACAGGGATGAAATTGTAGTTTTTGTATTTTCTTCTTCTTATCAATATTTACGCCTGCTCTCAGGCATCGAGCACTGTTTTATACGGAAAATCATAAATTATAAACTTCCTATATATATATATATATATATACATATACGCTCACTGCGCTTGCGCAAGTATATATATATATATATATATATATATATATATATATATATATATATATATATATACATTACGCTCACTGCGCTTGCGCAGTTTGAGCGCTCTCGGATTGCGTAGAGAGTCTCATAAAGAGACGTTCACCGCATTCGCTCTATGCATTGCTCACCTATATAGGTTTGAGCGCTCTGGTGACTCTACACTACAATCCATACAATGAGTAACCGTACGTCCTGTGTCCCAAGTGCAGGAGTCAGCATTTTACTATGGTGATAGCCGGGAGGGCACATTGTTATACACTTTGTATATTACGCTCACTGCGCTTGCGCAGTTTGAGCGCTCTCGGATTGCGTAGAGAGTCTCATAAAGAGACGTTCACCGCATTCGCTCTATGCATTGCTCACCTATATAGGTTTGAGCGCTCTGGTGACTCTACAATATACAATCCATACAATGTGTAACCGTACGTCCTGTGTCCCAAGTGCAGGAGTCACCATTTTACTATGGTGATAGCCGGGAGGGCACATTGTTATACACTTTGTATATATACATATATATATATAACCCTAAACCTAACCCTAACCTACCATATAAATTCGTACGTCAGTCGTATGTACTCGCATGTCAGTGGTATGTACTCATATGTCAGTCGTTGTACTAGTATGTACTCGCATTTACTCGTATGTACTCGTATGAACTCGTATGGTGCTTTAGTTACTATCCACTTTGTTAGACTCAAACAAAAAATTATGTATGCATAAAATGAAATCTTCATAAGGTAATTTCGTCTGCATTAGCTATTTGTTCGGCCTGGTTAATTTAACAACAGGCTAGTTTGTCCACGTTTGTTAAGCCTGTTTTCTACTAGCCAAGTATCGTATCGTAGCAAAACGTAACATGACGCATGCGTGCTTGTGCCAATTGACCATTAAATCATAAGCACGCATGCGCCATTTTACGTTACGATACATGGCAAGTAAAAAACAGGCTTTACAATCAAGTTTTAAGGTTAATATAACTCTATCATGTCGCTTTGATTTTACAATGGTCTTGCACGATGTATATGAGACAAAAACTAGTTTATGATGATGTTATTTTTAACTTGCTTTGCTTTTACTAATACCGTATAAATCCTAATTCTATCAAATTCCAGAGACACGGAGCTATACAGAGGCGGATTTAAACTTAGTCAACTAAGTCGGGCGACTAACGTATTAACGTGTCACTTTCAAAAAATTCCTTGGGTATTCCTTAAATTATAACACTTGAGTGCTTTAAAATTTCCGCAGGATTTGGGTCCATATACCGATTTTGATTGGTTTAAATTGATCAATTTGCGAGCATTCATTGGTTAGCGTATCGTGCAGGATCTGCAGGATCTATGTTCATTCTGTGATTCTGATTTGCCCAGACGAACCAGCTATATAGCTGTAATTGGTGGAGATTTCTTGCAGGATCTATACCAATTTAAAGCTTGTGATTGGTCAACTTTGTTAGTTTTTTGCAGGATATATCTATTTTTGGTATATGATGTTGCCGAATCTTCGGATTTGATTGGTTGTTGTAGCGAACTTAGTCGGAATATATTTGTCTGCTTCATTGCGCTTGAATATTTATCGATCGTCATGGCTAACTCTAGCAGTATTTTAGATCGGGTTCTTCTGACTTAAAAAAGTGATGATGTTGCTTTGCTTAAGACCTTTGAGGAATTATGTGGTATATATAATTTTCTCGTTTCTTAATGCCTGAAGAGCATTTTCCTTTAATTGGACGATCTTTGTATCGTGATGTAAATGCTGAGACAGTCTATTTGCCTCATCATGTGAAGGCCGACAATACGAAGCCATCGGTTGCTCTAAGGTAAAATTAGTTAAATTAAAATAAGTAGAAATGAATATAAGCCTAATTGCGTAGTTGTTATGACACGTTAAGACCAAAACTGCCGATTTGTTGTCATTTCATTGTTGTTGAAATGATCGCTTTTAACTCGCTTTGTTGACATTGCATAAATTGTTGCAGTCTTATAATAATCAAGAAATCTTTCGACTGCTGTTTTATTAGATCTGAACCATCTGGAAATTGCCTATACGGAGCAATTATAGAATACCCGTCCAATTTCTAAAGGCACCCTTTTAATTCTGCGGATACGTGGATACGCAGTGACGAGTTTAAAGAACGAGGCATAAGATAAGAGGACGAGTTTAAAGAACGAGGCATAAGATAAGAGGACTATTACCTATATAAAGAAAGATAGTTGAAGCTATGTTTTTTAGTGGATACGCGGATACGCAGTGACGAGTTTAAAGAACGAGGCATAAGATAAGAAGACTAGTACCTATATAAAGAAAGTTAGTTGAATTTATGTTTTTTAGTGGATACGCGGATACGTGGATACGCAGTGATTTAAAGAACGAGGCATAAGATAAGAGGACTAGTACCTATATAAACAAAGTTAGTTGAAGCTATGTTTTTCAGTGGATACGCGGATACGTGGATACGCAGTGACGAGTTTAAAGAACGAGGCATAAGATAAGAGGACTAGTACCTATATAAAGAAAGTTAGTTGAAGCTATGTTTTAGTGGATACGCGGATACGTGGATACGCAGTGACGAGTTTAAAGAACGAGGCATAAGATAAGAGGACTAGTACCTATATAAAGAAAGTTAGTTGAAGCTATGTTTTTTAGTGGATACGCGGATACGTGGATACGCAGTGACGAGTTTAAAGAACGAGGCATAAGATAAGAGGACTAGTACCTATATAAAGAAAGATAGTTGACGCTATGTTTTTTAGTGGATACGCGGATACGTGGATACGCAGTGATTTAAAGAACGAGGCATAAGATAAGAGGACTAGTACCTATATAAAGAAAGTTAGTTGAAGCTATGTTTTAGTGGATACGCGGATACGTGGATACGCAGTGACGAGTTTAAAGAACGAGGCATAAGATAAGAGGACTAGTACCTATATAAAGAAAGATAGTTGAAGCTATGTTTATTAGTGGATACGCGGATACGTGGATACGCAGTGACGAGTTTAAAGAACGAGGCATAAGATAAGAGGACTAGTACCTATATAAAGAAAGTTAGTTGAAGCTATGTTTTTTAGTGGATACGCGGATACGTGGATACGCAGTGACGAGTTTAAAGAACGAGGCATAAGATAAGAGGCTAGTACCTATATAAAGAAAGTTAGTTGAAGCTATGTTTTTAGTGGATACGCGGATACGTGGATACGCAGTGACGAGTTTAAAGAACGATGCATAAGATAAGAGGACTAGTACCTATATAAAGAAAGTTAGTTGAAGCTATGTTTTTTAGTGGATACGCGGATACGTGGATACGCAGTGACGAGTTTAAAGAACGAGGCATAAGATAAGAGGACTAGTACCTATATAAAGAAAGTTAGTTGAAGCTATGTTTTTTAGTGGATACGCGGATACGTGGATACGCAGTGATTTAAAGAACGAGGCATAAGATAAGAGGACTAGTACCTATATAAACAAAGTTAGTTGAAGCTATGTTTTTTAGTGGATACGCGGATACGTGGATACGCAGTGACGAGTTTAAAGAACGATGCATAAGATAAGAGGACTAGTACCTATATAAAGAAAGTTAGTTGAAGCTATGTTTATTAGTGGATACGCGGATACGTGGATACGCAGTGACGAGTTTAAAGAACGAGGCATAAGATAAGAGGACTATTACCTATATAAAGAAAGATAGTTGAAGCTATGTTTTTTAGTGGATACGTGGATACGCAGTGACGAGTTTAAAGAACGAGGCATAAGAACGAGGCATTTCTTTCGCATTACAGAACGAGGCATTAAAGAACGAGGCATTTCTTTCGGTTATGAAGGAATATTGTAGAAAGCATTCCCGTCAATTAATCTTGAAAGCTGGAGTCTTTTTTCAACAATTTGGTGGTATGAACTGTGGATAGTATAATTTTCGAAACGTGTGAAGGGAATATCACCCCACTCCATTCTTCTGTACAACAAGAATAGCGATAGGCAATGTAATAATAAATGCGCTTTCAAAAACTCTCCAAATTTAAAATTTCATCAAAGAATTTTGTTGTTTTTCGATACCATTGGATAGTTAGTGTATCATAGGAATTTTGCAATGTGTGAGGCGATGTTTTGAATAACTTTAACAGGTAGTTGAATAATGACTCATTTAAGGAAGTTATGTAATAGGAGCGTCATATAATTTGTAATATGATTGTTGCCTACAAATGCTAGCAAAGGAAATAGCCAGCAATAAGCAGATTAATACCATGAAATACGCAAAATGTATGGCGCTGAGGAAAAGAAAAATGTTGGGATTCAAGTAGCGGCAAGGAAGGGAAAAGCAAAAGAAATTCAAACAGATTTATCATTGCTACAATGCGAAAGTGTTGCAACGCAATGCGGCGAATGGATAGGAAGTTATCAACGAAAAGCAAACCAAGGAAATGTTTATTGGACATACGACAAGCTTAAAGACGGCGTACTTACCAGTAGAAATTGTGTGATAAGTTGGCTAATGGAAAGGAAGTTGATCGCTAGTAATCGGCTATGCCCTCGTTGTGATAGCGTTATGAAATTGGTCGAGTGTGATGATAGGTCGGACGGTTGTAAATGGGAATGTAGAAAGCAAATAGGAGGTAAGCGACATAAGATTGAGTTATCTGTTCGGAAAGGTAGTTGGTTTGAGGGCAGTAATTTAACGTTGGAAGAAGTTTCAAGTTGACATATTGGTGGTGTAGAGATGTTAAACAGGAAACAATGAGATTTGAGGTAGATGTTAGTGGAAATACAGTAGTTGATTGGGACCGTTTTTGTAGGGAAATTTGCGAGTTGAACTATTTTGAATGCAGAGAAAAAATTGGTGGTCCAGGTGTAAGGGTGCAAATTGATGAGAGCAAATTTGGGAAACGAAAATATCATAGAGGACATAGGGTAGAAGGACAATGGGTATTTGGGGGTATAGAAGAGGGCAGTAGAAAGAGTTTTATGTTTGCAGTAGAAGACAGGAGTGAGAGAACGTTGTTGCCGATAATTGAAACAGTTATAGAAAAAGGCACGACAATAATATCGGACTGTTGGAAGGCTTATTTAAATGTAGAGAAACACGGTTACAAGCACTTGCAAGTGAACCATTCAGTGGAATTCGTGAACAAAAATGGAGATCACACAAATAAAATTGAAGGACATTGGCGCCAGGCCAAGGTAAAGTTGTATCTGGCATACGAAAATATATATTCTCGTCGTATCTGGCAGAGTTTCTGTGGAGATACGAAAATAAAGGCAAAGACTTATTCGAAGTTTTTTTGGAAGATGCTAAGAAGATATATGGGAACTTTGAATGAAAGAATAAAAGAATAAGATTGTAAGATGTAAATATACGTTAAAGTTGAAGCGATTAGAAATTCAGCAACATCAAGTCAATTTAAAGAAAATATATATATAAGTTTCCAGATGGCGTGTTGTATGTAAAGCCTGTTGAATAGCCATTTATATTCTTGCCCTGTATATATGGCTCTGCCTATGTTAAAAATTAAATATAAGATTTTGATGACTGCATATCCGCATATCCACTATAAATTGACTTCGCAGTGACGTTGAATTTTCTTGTATTTAATTATCACTGACCGCATAACCGTGTATGGACTACAAACCGCAGCCCGCACTGTTAACTGCTGACCGCGCATCCGCGTATCCATTAAAAATTGGATTTGTAGTAAGTGGACGGGTATTCTATAATCTAGCCGCCTATACAGCTCTGCTTCTCTGGCCTTGGTTGGAAGCAATGCTCTCATTCACACTTTGAGAGCTATGGTATCTATAGAGCTTTTTATATATGCAAATTATTATTGTTATCATCCAATATTCACTTCCACCTTAGAGAAGCATGGTGACAAGGTCTCTGTTAGTGCAAAAAATGTTTTGGCTATGTCCTGTTGTTTTGAAAGTGTGGATTCAGGTTTATCAGGGCTTGATCTTGTTAAAATGGAAGCTCTTTGCAACTGTAGAGATAAAATTTGTTTTTTGTGTATACTTGCTCTCTCCTCAGTTACTAATAGAATCATTTCTTTGATGTATCCTGATTGTGGAGAAGTTTCTTTTAAGTTGTTGTTCAACCAAATTATTTCACCTCCTCTTCCTTTACCAACACCACCTACTCAGTATAACTATTTATACCTCTTGTTTTGTTCTACAACTCTATTGACTTCTAGTAAAGTCTTTAAGCCAAATCACTTTGCACCTCTTATTTTCAAACCTATCAGTAAAACTAAAAGAAAGGCTTCTGCTTTGTTAGAAAAAGCTAACAAGAAAATTCCTCATGTGAAAGGAGAGTCTTCTACTGTTAACATTTCTAATTTTTTCAACCAGTTTCAACCCCAGCAAGTAATAAGGCTAAACAATTTATTTTGCCCAAATTATTTAGTACTACACAAACACAATCAACACAAAAGGTGCCTGCCATCACTAGTCTTGGTTTAATACATAACCCAAAACAAGAACTTTTGCAATCATTTTCATTAGATTTTTCACAGCAATATCCAAATGATGTGAGATATTTTAGAGAAAAGCTAGAAATATGAATGATTCTCAAAAGCTCTAGCTCATTCACAATGTTTTTAAACCGAATAGATCCTACCCATTTCCTAAATCAGCTGATGGTCGATCTTTTCTTTATTCGTGGCTGGAAGATTATTCTTGGTTGTGTTACTCCCTTCTTTGGATGGTGCTTTTTGTCTGCCTTGTGTTTTGTTTGGTGATCAGTTTCCGAATAAAAATACAAAAATTAAAAAACTTTTTAGTGAACCAATGACATATTGGCCTGATGCTAAAGCTTGCTTCAAACGCCATATTGGTTTGAGTTCTAAGGCTCTCACCAGAGCAGGTTTGCACGAAAGCACACATAATAAATATTTGTCATTAGTTGGTCAGGCATCAGGAGAAGGACTGCAGATTGAGGTGTTGATTGATGAGCACAAACAGCAAGTCATCAGGCAAAATAGGGAAAACTTGTATCAATAATTGATACTATTAAACTTTGTGGTAGACTTGGGTTAGCATTAAGAGGGCACCGTGATGATTCTTCATATCATCCGGAGGTTGGTTCTTACTCAAAAGGTGGTGTTGGTAACTATGTTGAATTGTTAAATTTTCGTGTTCGGGCTGGTGACACAGTTTTAGCTGATCATTTGAAAAACTGTCCAAAGAATGCTTCTTATATTTCAAAGACTACTCAAAATGATCTAATTGCTGCTTGTGGACAGGTTATCACTGAAAAAATAACTAGTGAAATAAAAATAAATAAATTTTTTAGTATAATTGCTGATGAAGCAGCAGATTCTGCAAACAAAGAGCAGCTTTCTCTGTGATTCGTTTTGTAGATAGCAATAGGAATGTTAGAGAAGATTTTGTGAGGTTTTGCACTGCAAATGGGGTTTATCAGGGAAAGTCTTGAGAAATTAATTCACAGTGCATTAACAGAACTAAAATTAAGCATTGAGGATTGCAGAGGTCAGGGATATGATGGAGCTGGGGCTGTTGCAGGGCATATCAATGGTCTTTCTGCACGCATTCTTCGTTTGAATTCTAAAGCAATCTACACCCACTGTTACAGCCATAGGTTAAATCTTGCAATATGTAATTCATGTTCTGTCCCTTTGTCAGAAATGTTTTAGTCAAATTAAAGAACTTTCTTACTTTTTCAATCTCTCTGATGGACGGCAAATGTTACTTTCAAAAGCAGTTGAAGACTATTGCCCACATTCAGGTAAATCAAAGTTAAAGGATGTTTGTCGAACTCGATGGATTGAGCGAATAGATGGTCTAGATATATTTCAAGAATTATTCCTTCCAATTTTTCATACTTTAACTGAAATGAGCCATAATGCTGGTCATGTGTGTAATCCAGAAACATCTTCTAAAGCTTCTTCTTTCCTAGCATTGATTTCCACCTTCAGATTTATTGTTAGCCTTGTCATTAGTAGAAATATTTTAGATTTAACACTTCCTGTTACTCAGTTATTACAAGCTAAAACCTGTGATGTTATGGATGGAATGCATTTAATTGAGTCATTAAAAAACTTGGGAATTTTATTGAGGAATGATGTTGATTTATATCATGGTAAATGGTATAGTGAAGCAGTTTCTTTAGCTAAAACGTAGATGTCGATGAAAAATGCCCAGAACAGCTGGCAGACAAGTTCACAATGAGAATCACCCATCTTCTAGCGCTTCAGATTATTACAAAAGGCTCTCACTATTCCTTTTCTAGACCACTTAAACTCTGATCTTCAGGCAAGATTTGATTTTAGTCAAATCAACGTTTATAACGGCTTTAGCGTTGTTCCATCAAAATGATTTCGCTAATTAACAGTCTTCCACCAAACAAAAAGAATTGGAAAGAGAATTTTCGTTTGTTTTCAGATTTTTACAAAGATGATCTTCCTAATCCCTTAGGATTAGATGCTGAATTGGAATTATGGGAAAAGTTTTGGACAACATATGAGGGATCATTACCGGACAGTGCAGCTTCCACACTTAAAGCTTTAGGGTTTGAAGGTTTTGAGAATATTAAGGCATGTCTACGGTTACTAGCCACTCTTCCAGTTACTTCTTGTGAGTGCGAACGCTCTATTTCAGCACTTCGCATGCTTAAAACTTACAACAGAAGTACGATGGTTGAAGAACGCTTAAATGGACTTGCACTAATGCGAATACATCAGGAAATAGAGCCTACTGTTGATGAGGTGATCAATAAATTTGCGTATGGAAACCGGCGATTAGAACTGAAATTGTAAAATTTGACTCTTTAGGCTTGGTCATTATAGTTTTGACGAGAAGGAAAGAAAGAGCTTCTAATTTTTTGTATAGTCATGATATCTCATAAATCTTAGTGACAAACGTGTCACTTTGCCTTAATTTTGTATATTAAATAATTTCACTATGGGTAATCCTCTGAGCCTGCGTGAAACCATTTTGAAATTATTTGTATGATGTGTTGCATCATTTTAATATGTCTATTCAAGTTTGAATTAGGAATATTGGATGTAGTATTTCATCTCTTTCTCGTAGCACTTTTTAAAAGAACATTGAAAACGTCAATTTATGTGTGTCATACACAGCACAATTGCTTTTGTATCTCTGTGAAAATGGTACAAATATACAACATCTTCTGTCACTAGACTTTTAAAATGACCACCACTAAGGTTGTCGAAACGTCAGTCAACATCAACACCAACAGTCCTTCTAAGGACTATACTAACCCTGGCGATCTACATCTTAAAATATATATGATGCGCGTTTTGATGAAGTTACCTAACATACAAGAAATATTCACCTTTGTAAGGTCTTAATTAATGCATATGCGTTTTGATCTGGGAATAACAACAACTTTGTCTAATTGTGATACTTGTGAAGGAACAATTGACCTTATGAAAGACCAAATATTTAACTTCATCATTAACAGGGTTACTGACATTTGGAGTCATGCTCTCAAAGGAATTAATAAGTTAACTGTGTCACAGGTCAATAGCATATCTTTTCCTAAACAATACCTTTTTATAAAAGAAATCAGTTTGAGCTTGGAGTATCGTCAAAATTTATGGAAATTGAATGTTTAGGTCAGCGTTTCGACGTTTTCTTTAGCGGTGGTTTGTGTTACTTTTCTGTTTAGCTCGGCAAAATAACCATTAGATTCAGATTATGTGTGTGCATATTCTTGGGGCGAGGTTAAAGGATTAGAATGACAGGGATGATGTAGAAAACTGAGCAATTTTACATCTTTGAAATGTCCCACATTGTCGCTTTTCTAATCAAACTCCTGTTGCTTTGTTGCAAAGGTGTGAAAGGCGAGTATCTGGCGCCTTAAAACCAGACTGCTCTCTTTTGTTTAAGGCTTCATTACGTTGAGGCTGTCCATGTCGGAATTGCATTTTCACTTGGTGAGGGTGCCATTTCCTAGGCATGCTGATGAGCTCTGATATAGGGTGAAACAGTCCTTATAATTCATCATATTAACAATGTTGCGTTAGCACAATTTTTAGCTAATGCGACCACGCCCATTTATTAAAATTTTGTTCGACCACGCCCTTCCGACTAAGGAATTAAAAATCCTGGATCCGCCCCTGCTATAAAGTACAATGCTGTGTATGCTAATTAAATTGTTATGCATAAAAATTTCAAAAGCATACTTTTTTTAATACGGGTCCCATTGTTCTTGGGACACCCTGTATTAAGATAACATGATAAGACTTTCTTTTCAATGGCTGTTACTTATAAAAAAGTAATATATTATACCAAGAAGCTACATCAATGCTTTTGTTGTTCAAATACTGGCATGTATAGAAATTAAAAATAAATTTGCTGTGGTTTTGATGCAGAGGTTTTCTTAACCAGATTGCTGGGTAGGTACCTTTATCTAAAATGAAACACTTAATATAAAAAAATGATGTAAAATGATAGTAAAGATTTTATGCACACGACAAGACAAAGAAATTCAAAGTCCCATGTTTATTTAATGAAATAAAAAGCTTTCTTTTGTTTGATTCAAGTTTTACTTAGGTTTTGCTATCGAGCAACTTTTGCTGTCTTCCGAAGTATCAAAACAACCAACATTATACGACAGTTTTCTGTTTTACGTTGCTAAAACGGGTTGTAATTGAAAAGTAAACACACATAACCTTTTTCAAATTTTATTTCGTTTTTGTGTTCAGTTACTGTGACAACAGTAGATTTCTAAAGAAATTAATAATGATAATTTTATAGAATACACTCGCGCGGAAGGAAAGCTGCAGGTTGAGTATGCTACTGCGTGTAATGTAACATAGGTATCACTCTTCATCATGAAAAAACACTAGTAACAGGATAACAATTTGCTAAGTCACGTTTTTTCCCACACAGGGCTTGTTCAAAATCGACGTCCTTAGTATCAACAATCTCACGATCGTACCTAGAACGTCAATTTTTGTGGTGGGGGTGGGGTGATTAGTTATAAATTCACTTTTGCCCGACAGGCTTTTTTGAATGTGCTTTGGCTTTCTAAAGAAACTAATCAGGCATGACTGAATATACGACCCCCCAAATAGCCTTCTAGCTATTGCTATGAATCTGGAGTATGATACTAAAGACTCTTACCACCAGTGGCGTATCCAGCAGGCAAGTTATGGTCCAGCTATGTAAATTTTAGATCATTAGAATTATTTATTTCTGTAGAAATCTTTTGAGTTTACTGTGAGTGAACACAGAAAAAATTAGCATAGCAGGACCAAATTTGCAAGCTGTCTACGCTACTGTTGGCCAATTAATATGTTTGTCTCACATAACACTTGCTTAATGTGTAATAGATTTTATTAACAGGGCATGTATGCATTTAGACACTGATGAGACTTTTATCCTTAATGAATAGCTAATACTTTGACCAACTCAAAAATTATTACATTTTTCTACCCGTTTTTTTTCCGCCATTCAAACAAGAAAAGATAAAAGGCATGTTCAATGCTGCTCTAAGCATCTTGAGCAGGAGTCTAGAAACTCGTAATTACTAAATACTAAATATGCTTGCTATGAAGAATGATTTCAGTAACGCATGCCTCACATTGTTGAATAAGCTCTTTGATTCCAATAACGCTGTTTTTATAGATTTTTTGTGAAAACCTAAAAATCAAAATTTTAGAGTGGTAGTCAATTGACTAATGATATCTTGCAGTTTAGTGATAGGTATTTATCTTAAACTGATAGAAGCTAGCTCCGAACCAATTGAAATCAATAAATTTTCTCGCTGAATTTTCGAATAGCTCAGATTTAGGGCTAAAATCACGCAGATGTGTTAATTTTGCAGTCGTTCGTTTATTTGTTTGTTCGCTCATTTTTTCCAGTGTTTCTTATGAAGAAATGTTTTCTATGTTCCCTTAAACATACAGTTATCGATCACAGTGTTATGTGCAATTACTCTACCAGATTGCTTATCTGGCTTATGTAGAGTCACATTTTTACTTATATGTTT